AGCAGGTGCCGTTCACCCTCCCGCAGGTGAGCGGAGGCTCGGGCGGGCGGGGGGCTCTGGGCTGGGAACCGCTGCGCTCAGGGACCCCGCGCTGATCCGCTCCTTCCGCAGCAGCCCCCGGGCCAGGCGGCTCCTGGCGGCGGAGCTGTGCCGGGCAATGGGAAGAGACCTGGGGACGCGGGCTTGGCGCCGGCGCAGGATTCGGAAGGTGAGGGGAGCTGGGGGGTGGAGGGATGGATGGGGATAGTGAAGGCTTCTGGGCAGGGACCAGGTCCTCCCCCTGCGCCTCTGCCCCCACCTCCTCGTTCCGCCCGGCATCTCCGTCTCTGGAGCATCCTGCTGTCCCTCCCCAGCGCTTCACTGAGGAAACCTCTCACTTCTCACGCAGACCTCTTCCAGGACTTGAGCCAGTTCCAGGAGACTTGGCTGACAGAAGGTAGGCTCCTTCCCCTTGCTCTGTTTCGTTTTGTTCTCCTTTTAGTGTTTGTCTTCTGACATTTGTTCTGCTCCTTTGCTTTGCTTGCCTAGCTCCAAACATTAAGTTGTGGTTTTTTTCAGACTTGCCAACCTCTGGCTCGTGTAAATGAAGACGCGTGAATCGCGTTATTGTGCTTAATGTTCATTTGCTTATGAATGGAACTTGGCAGCTGGCCCACCCTCCTGGGTACAATTTTGGGTTCAGGCTACTTGTAACTAGTTTAATTTGACGCTAATTTGTCACTTACCTTCTTTGGCTGCAAGAAAGTTGATTTTTTTTTTTTTTTAACAAACAATAAAACATCTTTTAATTTGGGGAACAAAGTGTTTCCCTTAATTTTGCTGTTTTTTATTTTTAAAGTGAATTCTCTCAAGGGATCTTGCTGGAATTTGTGCAGTGTTCAGTTTGGTCTAAATTGTTTTGCCTTTTGACATCAAGGAAGAGAAAACTTCAAATCCCAGAGAGTCCCATTAATTCCAAGTTAAACTAGCTTTGAACAGTATGGTGAATTTGCTCTAATTCCAGTACTACAAATTATCAATTTTCTAGAAAATTCAAAATACAACTTCCAAGTACAGACTCTTGATAAATATGAAAGTACTTACTGTGATATACAAACTTAACAAATATTTAACAACAATGTTTCACCACATAGGCGTGGTGTTTGGAGCAGGGTTATTTCCCCTAGTTTTACCACAAGTGAAGGCCAATCCTATCAAACAGTTCGGTTTTCTAAGCCTCCAAAAAGGTATTTGCCAACTAAGACTACTAAGTGGAAAAAAAAAAAAAAAAAAAAAAAGTATAAACTGTAGTATGGTCATTTCAAACTGAAATGAAATTACATTTATCAGGCAGTATTCAAGAGCGTGAGGATTTTAAGGATGCAAGAGGAATTAATTACCTAGAGGCTGTTCCAGGGTTGAAATATTCACCTAACTTACATCAGCACAGAAAAATCGGTATTAATTGCTGGTCATCTAATTGGTCTGTTTATCTGAACGTGCACACATGCTTAGGACTGATTTCTCTTATATCTTAAAAAAACCTGAGCTGCCAGTAAGGTAAGTTCACTTCAGAACTGATTTCTAGTAGACTTTTAATTTTACATTTCCCAATGTTTGATGATACCTTTTGCTCACTAATGTAAAAGAATTTTCATAGAACCTCTTGCAGTATGTTTGTCAGTAGCAGAGTGTAGAAGGAATTAATAAATACATGTCTATATGTTAGCATTTGTTAATGAGATGAAGGCAACTGAAAACTTAAAGAGTACTTTCCTAAATAATGTAAAATAAAAGTAAGTATGAAATATGGTGTTTATTTAGTTAAGAAATCTAGCTATTTTATTATCTTATTTACAGTTCTTGGTGTTACTTTTGAAATAAAAAGATTAACAAACCTAGGGAGGAAGTAAACTGTAAATATAAATTCACAAGAAAAAGCCAAATGAAAATACCCATTTTGGATGCTGTGGAAAGCTACCCATGTGAGCTTTACAGCTTTTCCATTGTCTAGTCTTTCACGTAAACCAGAATAAATATTTATTTATTCTGAATTTTCAAAGTGTGCTGTTGACTTGAAAACACAAGAGCCTCACCTGGCCAGTTTGTCTGAAGGATACTTTAAGGCTGAAGCTTCTTAACATTGAGATGATAATGCTGTTAACTATTTCTCTACTTGCCATATTAAGCAACATCTTGTTCTAGCAATGCAAGCTGTACCAAGTTAAACGAGGCCTTTGCAGATTTTCAAATATGTTTATTAGAACATCTTTGAAATATTAAAATATCTTAGACCTCGCTGTTGTTCTTGGAGTTGCACTAACCATGCTGTCTACAGGACAAATGCCTAGAAATAAGATTTACTGCACTGATTTGTGGGGAAAGAGAAGCTGTTTGCTGTCAGGTTCTTTTTTGAGACTACACCAGCACTTCCTCTTACATTTCCCATTCATGAAATCACACGTACATGCAAGGCACTATTAACATTTCCCTCTTCTGCTACTGGATATTTATTTTTTTTTCTTCTGAAACGTTCTCCTGCTGATCTACAAATTGTAGCCTACTGCACTAGTGCCAAGCTATCCACTGCTTCTGGAGCTACTGAAAAAATTGTATATGAAGGCACAGACACTTGCTGTTCTGCTTATCACTTTGGCATAGCTTTTCCAAATGTATTAGTTGGTAGTGTTTTTTTCTTATGCTAAATGATTAAAAATCCCTGCATGTTATGCTTCTAATGAAAACTGTGAACCCTGAGCTAAGAAACTTGCTGTTGTCCTTATTTCCAAGGTAAAGGAGAAAGATATGTGCAGGCTGCTAAAGCGTAAATCTGCAGGCAGAAGAACTCCATTCATTAATCCCAAAGGGAAACTATCCTTAGTAACTAAAGTGTATCCCAGCAGAAAGCTCAGATCTTTCCTACGTAGATTTATTTCTCCCTTACTGTTGAATATACCATGCAAAGTGCCAAATCTAATTCTCCTCTCTCTCTCCCTCCCTCCCCTGGCAGCTCAGGTTCCAGACAGTGATGAGCAATTTGTGCCTGACTTTCATTCAGAAAACTGTAAGTAGCATGGTGTGATCATATATCTCAGGGGAGAAGGGCAGGACACACTCTAAGCCAAACAAATAAGTAAATGCAACACAAAGACATTGAGGCTAAAGTACTTGTTTTGTAACTGTGACAATACAAGGTAAAAGCCCTGCTATTACTTCTCCCAAAGCAAAATAAACTTGCTGTACATGGAATTATTACAGAATCACAGAATCTTCATGGTAGGAAAAGATCTCTAAGATCAGAGTCCAACCGTCCACCTGGGGTGCAAGGAGAAGGAAAAAACACAAAACCACAACCACACACCCCACAAAGCCAACAACAACATACAGCCCCCAAAAACCCACCATGCCCACTAGAGAACACCTTGGAGTGCCACATCGACATGTTTCTTGAATACCTTCAGGGATGGTGACACCACCACCTCACTGGACAGCCTGTTCCAGTGCCTGACTAGTCTTTCAGTAAAGAAATTATTCCTAATATCCAAACTGAATCTCCTCTGGTGCAACTTCAGGCCATTTCCTCTACTCCTGTCATTATTCACTTGGAAAAAGAGGCCAACACCTGCCTCACTACAACCTCCTTTCAGGTAGCTGTAGAGTGCAATGAGGTCTCCCCACAGCCTCCTCTTCTCCAAACTAAACAATCCCAGTTCCCTCAGCTTCTCCTCATAGGACTTGTTCTCTAGACCCTTCACCAGCTTGGCTGTGCAAGCCAGTTGTCCCTGAGAAGGAACAGGAGCCAGAAATAATATGAAGCTCTAGTATCTTAATGGATTTATTTATATCTATTCTGTCAAGGTGCTCAGTTCCCTCTAGGTACCGATGTGATGTAAAGAATAAATATGGGCTTTACTGGTTTAAGCTAAAACCCAAGGCAGGCAAAAGGAGTCAGCTTTTGGCGTTTTTTTCCTCTCTTTCTGAGAAAATTAATTTTGGGGAGGGATGTTTGCAATAGAAAATGGCCTTAAAAGCCTGTGCTAAGAGAGATGGCAGTAACCCTTTCTCCAGCCTTTTTGACAGCTGCTTGCTTTAGCAGTTTTGAAGGGACAATTAGTGCTTTAGGTGGGGTATAACTGTCTTGAGGATGACTGGTGCACACATAGTTCAGGTCAGCTCTGACATAAACTCAGCAAAAACATGAGGTATTAACAGATGAGGATGTTACTTTCCATCCTTGAAACTCTAATCACAGGTCTGAACATCCCAGGCTTTGTAAGCAGCATCACATCAGCTTGAAAAGGTGGGGGTGGCTGGCAAAAGACTGGAGCTAGACTTACTAAAAGCTTACAGTTTTTACTTGAAGGGCAGCTCTTTCCCTTATTTGGAAAACAAGCCTAGATGGCAGTACCTTTCTGGAGCTACTTTTCTTTCTAAGTGTCAGTGATAGCAACTACAGAGCCCAGAAGCAAAGGTAAATGCTTACCATGTCCATCAGCCTGAATAAGCTTTTCTGAGGAACTAGTGAAGGAATTTTTGCTCCCTGCTGGATTTAATTAAGCATAAGGAGTAACCATGCCCACATCCTATTTCCTGGTGCTATAAACTGCAAGCCACATTTGTTATTCATAAAATTCTAACCAGCCCAGAACTATTGCTCCACAGACCAGTGCACCAAAAATGAAAAGAAACTATTTTACTTTTTTTCTGAACTGTCACTGGTGTTTTGGATGAGCAGTGTGGTTTCAAGATTCCCCCCAGTCCCATATTCAGGGATGTTGGAATTCTAGCATACAAGAGTTCCAACAAAGGGAAACTTGCATTTGGAAACGATACAAGGTAGCTGCTGAGTGCTAGCGTGGCAGCCTTTTGCTTCTCTGTGATGCTATTCAGAGGACATGCTTACCAGGTAGGTAAATGAAAGAGCATTTTGCATTATGCAAATCAAAACTTTGCTTTAATGTGTAATAAGAGTGTGTGCATGCTTCCCCCTTATGATATAACAGAAAAACGTTTGCCCCAGCCCTGAACAATTTAGGAAACACTCACTCCAAATCCTTTTTGAAGTGGTCTGGATTATCACAGAGCATGTTAACACCACCTTAGAATTGCTCTTTAAGGCTGATCTATCATATAAACCTTACTAAATCAAGGGTAGAGCTCAGGGAAGTGCAGTGAACAGTTGTGTATATTGGTATTTTGCTTCTGTCAGAACCAGCTGACCAAGGACAAGATGGTGGCATCTCAACGGACTTTCTACTAGCTGATAAAAATATCTGTCCATAAACAAGAAAAGCATCTACTTGATCTTTCATTTCTCTCCCACAGTAGCTTTTCATAGTTCTCCTGCTAAGATCAAAAAGGAGCCGCAAAGTCCCTCCTCGGACCCCACAGTGTCCTGCAGCCACCAGCAGCCATTCCAGTACCACAATGGCGAGCAGTGCCTTTATTCCAGGTAACACAGCATGCACAGGGGGAGGGATAGAAGCAGTTATGAAATCAAGTGCTACTGCATTATCTAATAATGAAGTACTCTGACAACAACTTGGTCCAGCTTCTGGGTAATGGCAGTGCACATGGGCTGCAATACAAATTAACTAGCGGGTAAGCTCCTGGCAGCCTACTCAGGCTGCCATTTATTGCACTGGATAGCTCATACCTGTGTAGAGTAGATCAGGACTTGCTTCTTTTTTCTGCTCCCTAATGCTCTTCCTCAGCTGTCCTGATGCTGAGAGTAGTTGACATCTGTCATGTGCCTCTCTCTCCCTATTGCTTTCCAAAATCTGTCCTGCAAGGAGCTTCCTAACACCACCACACACTGTGTCATCTACTTGCCCAAGTTGTAGTACGGCTTCTTCAGTTTTCTGCTTGAAGGGTTATAACTGTTATGCATGGGGACAACTGATAATCAGAAAGGAAGTTTTTGCTCGGAGTTTTCTGGGCTAAATGGCTGCATAGAGGGACAGCGTGTCTGCCTGTGACACGCTCTCCCCAGGTGCTGCTACAAGTCCTTCTTGGGGAACTGTAATGTTCCAATATCTGTTTGACTGTCCCAGTGCCTATGATCAACCCACACAAGTTGGAATCAAGTCCCCCAGCCCAAGAACCCCAATACAGTTACCACTCCAACAGTTCCCTAGAGAGGACCGGAGCTTCCTGACCCCTGCGGGGCCGCCCCACCCCACATCCAGCTGTGGATACCTCAACGAAAACAGGTGAGTCACTGACAGGAGCACCCAGATTAAAATGCTCAATTTCCAGCAATCACAGGATTCCCCCCATCCAAAGTACCCAACACTGCTGCCTAGGGTTTGAAGAATAAACCTACAGCCTTGAGCCCATCAGATTCTGTGAATGATGACTTGTGTAGCTGCCCTTGGAAATATTTTTCATTGGTGTCCCTTCCTTGCCCCAGCTACACATGCAGCTTTCACAGCCCTAGTAACAGGCTCAGGCCAAGGAGGTTTCTGTCCCTCAACCAGACCTGCACCAGGGCCAAGATCAGAGGGCCAAGAAAGCAGTCATCCCATGTCCTCTCTCCTCTTCCAGCTCTGCGTATCAGCCACCTGTGGAGATGTGCCATTCCTTCCCCTCCTCCCAGGGCATGGCCCAGGAAGATCCCGTTGCCTACCAGCGCCAGATGTCTGAGCCCTGCCTTCAGTACCCTCATCAGGGCTTCAAACAGGAGTACCATGACCCACGGTATGAGCAAGCAAGCCAGGCAGGCAGCAGCCATCAGTACCCAG